CGTCTGCAGCTCATCCAGAATGCAGCAACCTGACTGGTCTTCCACCTCCCTAAGTTTTTCCACAGTACGCCACTCCTTTGCACTTTGCTCTGGCTACCAGAGGCTGCTGAGATCTAATTTAGGACTCTGGTACTTGCCTACCATGCTGTGAATTGTTAAAGCCTGTCCTAAATCCAGGACATGGTCCAACCATACACCCAAGCTCCTCCATTACACTCTGCTACTATTAATCGGCTTGCTACTCCCTCACTATGAGGGTTGCCCAGCTACCACTCAAGAAAATCATGGTTATGTTTTCTCTATCTCTTATTGTCTCTAAATGTAGCACTTGGAGCAGCATGTGATAAAGTTGAGTACCTTCATTATTCTTGCAATTTAGGGATTTGTTGTCTACAGCCTTGCTAGTGGTTCTGTGATGTTGTACTTAGGCATGACAGCGCTTTGAGCTAAGCTATGTCAGTGTAATAACATACTTACAATGGCAATATTAAAATAGTGATGGTTTATAAAGTAATTGTTTTAGTAGCCATTTAGTCATTTTAGTAGTAACATTTACTTAAGGATATTTGGTCACATCCAAAACACTGGACAGATTACAATAGTGGCCTACTGGTGGATTGAAAAGTCATAGGATAACCAAAGTTATTACAGTTCATCATGAGAGAAACATAAATTCTGAACCAGATTTAATGCCAATCCATCCAGCTATTGTGAACACATTGTACATACAACAAAATGTTGGGCCAATCCATTCATTGTAGACATATTTCAATGGATGTGAGGAAACTTTGACCTATAGTGACAATTCATCCAATAACTGTTGGGAAATTTCAGTCTGGATCAAAGTGGTGGACCGACCGACTGTCCAACAGACTGAAATTGCCAAAACAAGGCGGCATTTGTTGCCTACATTTATTGGATACTTTCAAATAGGACAGGCCTTGTTGACCCATTATGACACACATGATCTAGAAATGTGGACTTCAAAGGATCCAGGCCCTGAATTGGGACACAGAAACTATCTGTCTTTTATCTCTTCTCTCTTCCTTCTCCTGAATCATTTCATATTCCCTTTTTTTTCCTGTCAAAGCAGCATCTTTATGTGTTGATCGAGCTAAGACAACACTGATTTCCATTTGGTCCTTGTTGCATTGTGCATGCCTTACACTTTGTCAGAGTGGTGGATTTTAAGTTGCTGTTTCTGCTGCCTGCTGTGACTATTTTTCAATACAGCTACACTGAGGGATTGTTTTTGTTTTTTCCCATTTCACACTTATATATAATTCAAAATATCTGTGGAAGTGTTCTACTAGTTAGCTGAGGACTGGTTTACTGATATAGTCAGTCATATGATTCTACAACCTCAAACAACAAAAAAGCAATTTTTAAGTATAATAAGAAAGTTGTGTGCAAGGGGCTAGATCTTTGTAATGTGGGGCTGTTAGATCCACTGTGTCAATGCTGCCATAATCACCATAAACAGAAATTACTTATATTTCTAAATCATCCAGGTAGTTGTATTGGTGTGTTAGCTAACATATTTTGCCCTATTAAGTGTTATTTATTAATATTATTATTATTATTATTATGGTGTTGTTTTGCTCTGTTAAAGGCTCTGTTCAAGGGCACATCTAACGCTCATTAATTAACACATTACATTTTTGTTTAATTTGTAGAAAAACTGAAGTGTTAAAATGACACATTATCAGTTGTCAAGTGTTTATGTGCGGGACTATTTTTTTGAAGGGTGAAGTGACTTCCTGGAATCTTTGTTGGTTGCCAGGCAACCTCAATGTGATGACAAGACAGGAACCACCGTTTGTTTTTGGTACAAATTTAACAAACAAATGATAACATGGTAATTAGTGAGCTTTAGAGGCGCTGGTAGCTGATATAATGTGTTAACTTTGGACAGCCATGCTAGCTGTTTCCCCATTTCCAGTCTGTATGTTAAGCTAAGTTCATATTTACGATACAGACACGAGACATTATTACGACCCATATGTCTGTTTATTGTAAGGTGTGACCTCTAGTGGCCGTACTTTGTAGCAGGTGCAAAGAAGGAAGTGAAATGATGTACTATAGAGAGTGACAAGTCCACATAAAGAGGAGGTCGGGGTGGATGGATTCATCAAGATCACCCAGACTTTCAACCAGGAGACCGCTGTTCATGTGAAACCCAAAGGCAACATTGTCATATTACATAAAGCAATGTAACTTAAGTTACACAAGTATGTGTACGTGTTGGCATTAAACATGTTTTCACTTCTTATCTCACATCTGCACATCTGCCCTCTGTCACACAAACAGACACACACACACAAACACAAACACAGAAGAAATCATGGCCGGCAGCCCAGTCACACCTGCTATGCCTGATGTCGTTCCATTATGCTCAGCACATGCAGGAGAGGAGAGATACTAAAGTAGAGATCTGGATGGATAGATGCAGCAACATGGTGAGCAATGAAACAAGTGAGGCTGAAAACAAAAAATGGAAACATGAAACAAAACTTGAGGGGAGAAATGATGGGGTAAGAGAGGCATAAAGAAATAGAGGAATAACAATATTGAGAAGTCACAAGCAATTTTAATGGCAGAAGGCTGGGGATAGAAGAAATAAATGAGATATACAGAGACTGGCATGCAGGCAGTAGAAAGGCAGCACACAAACAGATCACATTTATGCAATATTGCTAATATTTGACATTCTCATCAATAAAGCTTCTTTGAATGGAAAGGGAACAGAACTGACAGACTGAATAAAATAGAAAGCCAGATGGAGAATCTCTCTTGAAAATCTTGGATACTTTTTTTTTCTTTAAGCTTTCATGCGAAAAAAACAACAACATTGAATTGAATTTAAATGTTCTCCACTATCACAGATTCTATTACAGATACTTCTACAGTAAAAGTTAAAGAAGACTGGTGATTCAAATGGTAAAAATTGAATCAGTTTTATTATTTAGCATTAAGCCTTCCAGCTGCTGTGTTATAAACGCTGCCTGGTTAATGACCCTGATTTCTGTGAACTGACCAATTTACCAATCCATCCAATCTTTGGATCAGTCAATCTTATCGCTTGAATGATAGGACATTTCTGCATTCTATACATTTCTTTCTCCATTCGGGACTGAAACCTACCTGCCTCCTACTCCATTGCTGTCCTTGACACCTCCTCCATCATTTTCTTCTTCCCAGCCACCCTCTCTGCCCGGCTGTCCTTTACAAGGCCCCGTCGATTTAATGTGATTGACAGGGGAGATGAGAGGGAGCATTCCTCTGTCAGCTGTAACACTCTGCCTCCAATTGACCCGGTCCTCTGCTACCACTGTTAGTCCTGTTTATAGACAGCAGAGGTCATAAATCTACTGTACAAGGGACACAGACAAACACAGGGGAGGAGGATGGAGGAATATATTTTTTACACTTGGACAAAACAAGCCTGTCCCTGTCTGTGCAAATGAATATGCAAGATGTACATACACAGTGTATATCAAAGGTTCTTCAAGTCATTAAAGGAGCAATGTGGAAGATTGCACCTTTTGCTAGATTAATATCCATAAATCATTATGTTCATTATGAGACGTTATCATAGTTGCTGTAAACACAAGCTGAGAACACGTTCAGCCACTGTCAGCCTTTACCTCAAGATCATTTTTGTTTTTACAGAAAATCTGCAGCTTGAAGCATCCTTGTTTTTTTCCATTTCACCGATATCCTGGTTGGTTGCTAATAGATAAACAAAAAAAAAGACAAGCAGAGCTGAAAGCACAACCTTCTTGGTTATGTATAGGTCATAACAGCCAATATGCTTTAGTTTAAGATGCTTTTCCAGCTCAACACATTTTGACACCACACTTCATTAGCACTAAAACTACACATTTGGAACATCACATTAAATAAAGTAAAGAAAATAATCAAATAAAGCAAACGAATAGACGCTATGCTAACTCTTGGTTTCCAGAGCCCACATGCTTTTATCTTAAACAATTCCAAGTAATGCTAACAGTAAATGGACCTGTACTTGTATATAGCGCCTTTCTAGTCTACTGACCACTCA